ATTGTCGCTATGATAAATGACTTTGCAAGCAAAGGATTACTCGCCAAGCTAACCTTTGTAAAAAGCGATGATAGAATAGGAACTACATAGAAATACATACAGCTGTATTTAATTTTACATCATTATATATATTTGTTGTCCGTCAATTTTTGGTTTATATGTTGTGAAGTTAACATACCAATAACGTCATATATATATATTAAATAAACCATTTATAAATCTCAATTATTATAGAACGTCACACATTATACCTGTATATGTAAATACCGATGTGTATATAATTGTGAAGTGAACCACTATGGGAAGCTTAAACTTGTAAAGATGTGTTTTTTAATATGATAAAAAAACCTTACTGACTCTTTTATTACAGTACAAAGTAAATACTTAACCATCTCCTAAAACCTTTACACATAGCTTAACAATGATTATAATACACCATGTTACCTGAGTAAACCAACGACATAAGCAAAGCTGAAGGAAATGATATAAGATTAAGTTATCTGCTCATAATATAAATGAAGGAAAATATCGATACCAAAACTGTGAACGATGCTTTAGAGATGTACCGTTAGCAATGTAAATGGTGTCAAATGCATTTTAATTGGTTTTAGATTACCCATGCTATTCTGGTTTGTGCTTGCAAACAATAGTTTGTAAAAAGCCACGTTATACTACGATAATGTTGCTTGAGCCTGTAAGGTGTCTACTTTATTTTGTGTTCTACATTTAAATAGTTGTTTCCTTACTCCATATCTATAAGAACTGTTGGTGGACTGGTCAGTTTAATCTGGCAAGGTTAAGAGCAAAATATCTGTTGTAACTACTGTATACAATGTATATAAGTTATGAATTTGTTTTATTTTAGCCATGTATTTTCATTCATTTGACTAATTGTACCACTGAAAAGTTAAAAATTGACAAAATGGCCTTATTGCGCGGTACACTATTTTTGTTTTTGTTTTTGTTTTCTTTAGCGGAAACCAAATTTTGTAGTGCTTTTGTACTTCTCATTTCTTTTTCTTTATAAGACATTGCAGCTTTATGTGTAAAGATATGATTTAAAATGAGTTTTCTATGTTTTGAATATAAATACATTATGAATATTTACCTTATAAAACGTATGTAGCGCATTCTCACTGATGGCCTTATCGAATCTATATACATACGTTTAATCTATCAGGTCTAAACCTGTCATGGATCACCTGATCAGCCACTCCACGTACCTAGTACACGCCCCGGATATAGGTTATTTGTTCAGTACAATTTATGAACGTTGGAAATTTCCAATGGGGCGCTCTAACCTTCAAACTTTGACCGATTTGTTTTCGGGCTAGCTAGCTGACATACGTCATGTCACGCATATCAGTTATGCTATGCACAGACGTAAGCACTTTTTTTATTAAACACAAAATTATCCTGTTATTACTCCATAATCATGTTTATTCGAGATTGACCGAATTTGTTAAAATCTTTCATAGCATAGTTCAATAAATACCAAGACAACAGACTCTGTGCGGGAAACGCAAAGACAGCTTTAAAATAAAACACAAAACTAGTGGACAGACAAATGGAGCCAACTGTTAGACAGGAGTTTTAGTCCACTCTCTAATCTTATGTTAAATACCTGTTCTGAATTAATTACAAGTTAAGGAATAAAATAATAAAAGATAACATTAAAGCTAAGAAGTAACTGCGTTGATATAGTCAACACGGCGTGTGGCCACGGATTATTTAGAGTGTATGATGTGGTTGTACGTCAAAGCTTTATGTTATAGCGTTATGGTTTATACTGTTTGTGTTATGTGGTAGTACTGTTAGTTTTGTTTGCATGATCTAACTGTTGGGTTTATCTTTGTTTATATGATGTAGCGATATCTTATATGTTGTGGGAGTCCGTATAATTATGTTTAATGTGGTGGTGTTGATTATGAGGTCGTGGTATTGTCAACTTTGTTTGCATGGTATGATGTTTTTAATCTATTCTGAAGTTGAGTTACTGTTATTTATTATAAATTTTGCATGCTATGGTGTTGTAGTTTATTTCGTTCCACGAAAGTGTGGTACGGTTAGTTTTGTTTGCATTGTATGATGTTTTAATTTTGTGTGTATGATGTTGTTGTATGTTTTTATTATTAAGTGGGGTATTTATATAATTTTCTAGCATGGTGGGGTGTTATATTAATTTTGTTCTATAATGTTCTGGTACATTTATTTTTGTTTGCGTGGTTGGTGGTATTTTGTTAGTATGAAGTTGTGGTACGGCTATTGTTTTAATGCCATCGTACAGTTTTACAGTTATTTTCATTTCTATGATTATGTAATATATGTATATTATATTTTTGCATAATGGGGTGTTTTAATTGCTTTCGGTTAATACTGGTTATGTACGGTTAATTATAATTGTTTTGAGGTGCATTGCACGTACATCATTCTACATTACCCACAGAGTGTTCGGCATTCTTTATCATGAGATCTTAATTAGGGAAATTGTCAAGCATACAACATTTTTATTTTAAGTGCTTTATGTACTCATTATACATAGATAGGTCACATCCGTGAAGATAAAGACAGGTCACAACGTTTAGGGAAATACGGTAAACTGATCAGCTGATCAATGTCAATACTGCTCTATATATAATACCGAAATTAAGTTTTAAATCACATCAAACGATCAAATACATTACTGAGATATTAGTCATTGGATATTTAAACATACAGGTATGCCAGTGTCGTACGTGTCATACAAAAGTACTCAAATCTGTGTCTTTATTTACGTCATGTTTTGCTTCGATAATTTGTTAATTGCTTCTTTGGAATTACCATATCATAAGCATGGAGCTCATGTAAATACAATTGGGTAGGTGTTATTGTTACGTTTTACCTAGCATTGCAGGGAATCAACAAATAAGGTATCAGATACAAAAAATATCATATATCACACTTTACACACCTTTTCAACAAATCGTTGAAAAAAATATGTATTAAATTATTGGTACATTTAACCAATGACCTTTATTTGATCTTTGGGGAATTTACTTTTCTATAAATGACACTATAGTCAGCAAAGCAAGATACTAAATATAGATAAAGTGTTGGCGACCAATGCCTCTAAGGGTTTTGTGACAACACTCGATCTGACATCAAACGGATTGGTGTTTCGTTTGCGTTTTACTACCGTTGTTTGTATTCTTCTCATTTGTTTTGCGAAAAAAACTTAATTCTGGAAATCCTTTTGTTCGAAATTGAAAACATATCTATAAAGGTAAGCATTTTGTTTTTGTGGAAGCCATATTCATAAAGTTACCTACCTGAATTTTCTCAGAGACAATATATGCTATCTAAAGCTTGCTTATAAGTTGATATTGTTTCACATCTTAAAATAAACGTATAATTATTATACAACAAAGATAGTTACAGTGCTTAACATTGTTTTTACATAGTCAAACTATGACTGAGATCGATGTGTATTGTTTACCTCTACACCGAGACTAAGTACTGACGGAGAGTGTATACCCACTGTACCTAATAGGTAACTGGTAGGGTGTAGATCTAGCCCCTCTCATGTTAATGATAGGAATAAGCCATACAGCTGATTTGATTGGTGTTCCTCGTTGACTCTTTTCATTTTTGAGTTTTTCCAACTTTTATTGCTTCTTTGATTTGTTTGGTTTTTGAATGTTGTTTCCTTTCAACTATTTTGATGCTGTTCCATTGATACGTATGATGTGCATAAAATAAACTTTGATACAAACAATATCACATGATGCAGTACACTGAAATCCATTAATAATACCGACTGATTTTGTGTCCACATATCGTATTAATGATATAACGTAACCATCTTCATAATTGTGGGATCGAGTTTAAGAATCTTTCAATTTAGCGAGCCTCTGGCGAGTTAAAATAGTTTCATCAATTTCATATGAAATGAAAATAGGTGTTACATCCTTTTTATCACATACTCAATATTTGTGGCATTTATTCGTGTAAAACGACAATTTTTATGCAACTATGAAATGTAAAAGCCGCCATTTTGACTCTAGTGCGTAATCCTGTGACGTCATGTACTGGTCCTAGGCGTGACGTCACAATTGAAACAATTGAATTTATAACCAATCACAGGGCTGATAGCTCATATTACATGGGTAAATACGCAAAAAAAATATGACATGGGTATTTTCACTGGATAACACAGTACATTATGTGATAAAATACACTTACCGTGTACATCTGTTATATTGATATATCAGACAAGTAAATACCCTTACCGTGTACATCTGGTATATTAATATATCAGACAAGTAAATACCTTTACCGTGTACATCTGGTATATTAACATAGCAGACAAGTAAATACCCTTACCGTGTACATCTGGTATTTTAACATATCAGACAAGTACATACCCTTACCGTGTACACCTGGTATATTAACATAGCAGACAAGTAAATCCCCTTACCGTGTTCATCTGGTAAATTAACATATCAGACAAGTAAATCCCCTTACCGTGTATCTTGTATATTAATATATCAAACAAGTAAATACCTTTACATTTTACATCTGGTATATTAACATATCAGACAAGTAAATACCCTTACCGTGTACATCTGGTAAATTAACATATCAGACAAGTAAATACCCTTGCCGTGTACATCTGGTATATTAACATATCAGACAAGTAAATACCCTTACCGTGTATCTTGTATATTAATATATCAGACAAGTAAATACCTTTACATTTTACATCTGGTATATTAACATATCAGACAAGTAAATACCCTTACCGTGTACATCTGGTATATTAATATATCAGACAAATGAATACCCTTACCTTGTAATCTAATTTAGTAATGTTGGGAACAAGAAAATACCCTTATCGCACACATCTGGTGTATTTTAAAATGTTGAGAACTAGTATCATTTACTCATTCAATTAACTTTAGTTACCAAGTGTATTGTATTGAGATGACGTCGATTCAATATGTTTTGGATTCGTTTTACAGGTGTCACATTGATTCCAAGACAACTACGAGGACAGTTTGGCCACTTTTGTTGATATAAGATATACTTGTATGAGTATCTATTCAAACTTGAATGGAAAACCTTCCATTTCAAAGATATCAAGAAAAATGCTCGAAGAAAATATCGTAGGAAGATTGCTTTATTTATAATGGTTTTATTGTAAAGGTGATGTTATAACAATGCCATTCAAACTGAACTATTTGCTGTGTGGGGTACATAAAGAAGAGGAACGTTCTAACAAAAAGAAGAAAAACAGAACAAACAAAAAAAAGAAGGAAAAACAACACACGTTAAAACCAGATAAATCAGAAAGTGTGGTGACGTCACCAGGCCCAGATACAATAGATCAGATTATTCTTAGGATTCCTGATCCAGATATAAGAGAGCGCCTTCAGCAATGGCAAACTGAGAATATCCTGGAACAAGCGGGAAAAGAAAGCAAAGAAAAGGAATTCAGGAGAGAGCTAGAAGAAAGACTTTGCGAATCGGATACAGAGAAAAGTGAACTCTTGGATATTAAAAACGAGGAAATAGACGGACTAAATCAGAAACTGCAAGATGTTCGAGAGGAATTTGAGTCTACTAAACAGGAACTGCAAGCGACCAGAGGAGAGAAATGTCGCTTAGAATCAATCGTACGTAATGTATTGTTAAGATAGCATTTAATATTAATAATTCATGTATCCTCTTAAACACTTTATAGTACACCTTTGTCCACTATCACATTCATATAACTGAAATATTAAGCATAGAAAGGAAATAGAAGAGCGCAGTTTCATCTGCTATTTCATGAATACTTGATAGTGTTAGTTTAAACAGTGTGCTATTCAGTAATCTAAACAGTTTATTTGTACACAAGTGTTCAGGGGATAGGAAAAAAAGCTCAGATTATTAACAAACTCCCAAAATATATTTAGTAAATAATGAAGACAAGTAAAGAGTATCTTGCAACACTATAATGTATGAAGCGTCAAGCCTTTGATCTATTTGTAGGTGAGAAGTCTTCAAGGCAAACCCTACCTTCCTCTGTGTCGGAAAGATCCAACCAACAGTAACCTTGTAGAGGCCCTGGGCAAACTTGTTCTACCACTACAGGAAAAGCAACGGCAGGAATCCCAGTTTACTAAAGAGGTCAAAGACGCCATGCGTTTGGTTGAAAATTTCATAGGTCAGTAGATGCATTTTAATGTATGGTCTTTAAACTACAAGTGTGGAAAAAAGTAAGATAAAAAAATGAGTTATTTTGCTGATATATTTTGCAATATATACAATACAGATTTTGTTTGTAGATAATTAAGTATGACTTTTGAAACAATTTCCCTCTGTAAATAAAGGGCCGAGGTGGAAGGAATTCGCCCGTGAGATCGATCTACCATTGGAAATTATTGAGGACAACGATATGGCTCCTGATCAACGTCAATCAGAAATATACTGGAGGATTATGTCCGAGTGGCAAAAACGAGAAAACATTACTGTCACAAAAATGGCAACAGTCTGTCAACAACTCGGTATTAATATTTGCTTGGGTAAATATGCTTTCTTATTTAAATTGTACGAATACTTGCTTAAAAGATGACTTTTTACAATCATGAATATTGTAGAATGTATGCTTTTACGATTTGTCTATGATCCATAGTAACACTCTAAAATGTATATACAATAAATGTGTTGTTGAATAATTAATGAGTAATGTCTGAACGACTTTTTAGACATCACTGTCATCTTTAAAAGATGCATAACTAATAACAGTAAATAAAAACTACATATTTCTATGTGTGAGAAGTCTTTTTTTTAAGTTAAAAAGAAAGCAGTTATGACAAAATATTTCAATGTATTTATTAAACGTGTGAGTCAAGCACGGTCACATTCTTTACTGGTATAAAATAAAGCTAATATAAGTTCCATTCACGAGCTTTTACTGATGCTTACAATGTGACATGATAAACTTGCTGATTAGGTTTGAAGTCCGGACCAATCTGTAGAAATAATATCGTGAATTTCAGATAATTTGATATGTTTTATCATATTTGTCAATCTCTATTATTTCACTAAAACATAACTTACTTAATTTGTCCTGAAATAAGAAACATAGTTTTGTAAATGATTCCCTTTATAGTTAGCGCTTTCCATTCGCCATATCATCATCAGGTATACTTTATCGATTATCTTGATAATCTTGTTCTTATTTAAATTGTCCTGATGGTCAAAAACTGCCAGCTGATTATATCCCTGTTTACGTTTACATTCATTTTGTACACAATTTGTTTTTATTTATAGATTTACATTTAACGTGTTTAGAAAATGATCACCAGAAAAAAACGAAAAAGGGAAGCATTTATTTCAACATTCGTATGGCGATGCAAAACGTAAAACCAAAGCTTTTTAGTGTACGATGTGGCCATTTCGCCTCTTCAGGACTAAACAGTTTCACTTCTAAACTGATATTCCATAAACATATGGTTGTTGTTTCACAGATAAGCCCATGTCAGGTCAACACAAACGTGTACTGGACAAGAACCGTGAACGAGTTATTCACGATGTGTACCCGGAGCTAGCACTGAATCACATGCTCAAGTATCTGTCCATACCGGCCAGTCTCAGGGAGTATGTGACGTCAACTGAAAAACGATATGTAATGGCGGAAAGATTACTGGACATACTACCTGTTCTAGGGGACCAAGCTTTTACAGTCTTCACACTTGCACTGAGTAATACAGGACAGGAGGAAATAGCAGAGCAACTGTTTGGTACGACATATTTTAAATTCATGTGTTTACTAATTATATTACATAAATACTGTTGCTGAAGCATGGATCTTTTATGTAATATTTTGATAAGAAATGTGGTACTGAAACCCATAACAGAATTGTTTGATTTACGAAGACAGAAAAGCTGACCGCGACTGAAAACTAAAATTCCATAAATCCTTTTTTTGTTAGCTGTACAATAAGTTAGAATATTGATTGAGTATTGGGTTTTTTATTGCAGAGAATCCGATGCCAGAAGAACACAAACTTGTCCTACGCAAATTTGAAAACACTTTGATAAGCTATAGGTAAGGTACTAGACAAATTACTGTGACAATATATAGGAAAGGTACTTCACATATCATTGTGATAAGATATTGTATATATATGTTAAATGTTGAAACATTTTTATTTATACATCAACAATGAACAATATAATAATTATACTGCAATAAGATAATACTTTGAAAGGGTACTACTTAAACAATTTAATGTGCTCTTTGATCACACATATATTAGATAAAAATGTTCTCTATATCTACTACAGTGATTCTGACCGCCTGGTATCGGGCATGGCGAGGTACGTGACCATACCAGGGTGTATCCATGGTTACCTACTGGAGTCTAACACCAGGGACAACAAAATGCGACGCCTTCTGGAAATACTGCCCTGTTTTGGACACCAGGCTTTGGACACCCTCATTAAGGCACTAGACGACACTGGATTTAAACAGGTGGCCTCAATCCTCAAAGGTAGGACTTTTATTAGGGCCAAGTTCAATTAAATCTTTCCCAATATCAATGAGATTTATATAATATACATGTCACATGCTGCACCTGCTGTATTTCAAGTGATATATCTACTTTAGATATATATATATCTTCGCGAATTTTATGAAAACAATCCGTTTTCTGTATTATTGGTGGATAATCTAATAAAATGTTTTAACAAACCTCTTAATATGCAAATAGAGAAAGTGATGTATTTGCGTTCACCAAGCACTGAAAAACCGACAGGCTGAGAGGTCGCTTCGCTTGATTGAAATACGTTACAACAGCGAACGACCTTAAATTAACAATTGATAAAACAGGCCCTTTTCAAGTACCCTCTTTTTCCATAATATGTTTCTATTCGAAATGTCTATATGTATTTTGGCGACTTTTCCTCGTTTTTACAACTAGTAATTTACCGTGTCGCTTTGAATACAAATTCATGTTCAATATACCATGAACACATTACGAATTTCTTAGAACATCAGAAGAGTTTTTGATACCCTATTGTCTTATCTACTCTTTGTTAGACAAGACTGGAGAACTTCTGAAACTGACAAAGCAGGAAGCCTCCACCCAGGTGTCGCCAGAAGATGTTTATGAGAGCGAGGAACTCCTATGGAAGGACGACTACTACACGCGTGAGATTATGACCAAGGAGATGGAGGCCAACGCAGCTATGTTTGAAACCAGCATAGAGCAGCAGGTAAACATGGACTACAGGAGTCCAAAGCCGATTGAGATTCTAAATAACATGGACATGGTGCGGGTCCGGTACACGGCCCGTGGTACTGAGCTGGAATAGGTACACGCTGTGTATAGCTGTGTAGATGAACAATGATATTGTCAGTTATACAGTGACCACAGAAAATGTCTCTTAGTGACGAATTGTCCCGCTCTTTGTAGTTGTCAGACATTTCTCAACGGTTGCATCGTCACAATGAACAATAGCCGTGTTTGTATAATCAGAATTTAAATATTGAATGCACTGTGTAGCTATCATTAAGTTACAGTCTCATTGAAATCATCCGTTAGAAAATGTCTTCCAAAACGCACACGGTAATCATATACATATGTACATACGTTACGTCATGATAATCATTAATAGTTACCTGTTGGAGACACTGCATCTCTAACCAAACTCTTCTCGATTATGTTACGTTGTATGTGAAAATGAAACAAAGGTACCACAAAAATATAAACTTTATTTATTTAACAACAATTATGAAACAAGTTATTTCAACTGATATTAATCACTCTTGTTGGCCCGGTTGTTATCGTGTGGGGGGTCTTATTGTGGGAGGAAACCGGAGTACCCGGTCGGGCAGGTGATCCCAACCTTTTCACGTCCGATCGGGGAATCGAACCCCTGCCGCCTTGGTGAAAGGCAAATGCGCTATCCACTGCACCACCCGACCCTCCGTTGGTACCACAAGATAACAGCACCATCTATTTCAATGACTAAACTTAAGAGTGTGCAAGGATGTTTTTTTATCGTGAATTATTAACATCTTTGGTCAATATTGCATGGATTGTTCACATCAAAGTGAAAGCGTGTACTTGCCTGTTGATGATATAAGATTTTGACTTTTTACGTTGATGAAATTACACGTTGCATTGTGCATAGCGGTAACACAGTGAGTTAGACTGTTGATTGTTATGTAATTCAAGCTAGTACATTTTCAAATTCATAAAAGACACGAGATTTGGAATTAGATAACAGTGCATCGATGACAGTGTATTGATGATATTGTTAATGATACTAGCTGACTCCAGAAAGTTCGTTTTGAAAAGAAACATGCTATTGCGATTTCTTATGTAAATTGTGTGCTATTAATTTGTTTATGTTCAGTAAAACCTCGTAAATGCAAAATATTCTTAAACCGAAAACCTACTTTACGGACGCAATCAATACTTTACTAAACCGTGTAGTGTACATGTATGTCTGTAGTAACGAGGTTCCGCTATAGATGTTCTAGGCAACATAGCCTTAATGGGGTATATTTACTGCAATAAACACCTGTCTCTGTAAAACAACCAAGCCAAATATTCCGGAGATCTCGTTATTTGTGGATTTTTTTTATTACTTTTTGTATGTAAATACACGCTCAACTAATATATACATTTATAATAATATACAACATTGATTTTACATGCTTTATGAAAGTTTGGTTTATTAGAATCATTGATTTATTTTCACGAGATGTTTTGAAGGAGTGTGTTGTTTAATGAAAACCATAGGGTGACTATGTTTAAGTCCAGTAATCATCATGTTGAGTTTCAATTTTCGTTCATTTCGATGTTTAACAGTGGTATAAAGAAACTCTTCGCAGATGAACAGATAAAGTGAATGTGACACTTCCTAGCATCATATTGAGCTACTTTATTTAACATTTTCTTGTAAAAAAAAAGTAGCCGGTGACATTTTGCTCTAGGATCAGGTGAAGACTAGATGCCATCGTCCATTTGGTTTGATGTATCCTTTTTATTACTAACGTCTTTTCGTGTCGTACATATTTTTGTATATTTCATGCTGACGCTTTGCTCCATATTTTAATAAAAGAAATATTTTTATAAACATCAATATACTTGATGATGTGTCTCAAATGTTATGATTGCTCTGTGAACTTTTAAATGACCAACAGGACAGGCCTGACATGACCACCGACTGTCTAACGTGGTGTTTATGTATTATGTCGGCTCTATGTTTCATGAATGAATTTAATCTTTATTGTTTGCATGATTGTTATCCTCGTTATTTTTATTGCTTACATTTTCTAAAGTGTAATAAGTGCTATCAGACATTGTATATTACACATGACATGTAAACCAATAACAAGTACCACCCAACTTTGCGGGTCGATAATAAAGTGTTTGAATCAATGTGTTATTAACAATCTCTATGTGTAAAATGTATAATAAAATCTGTCCTTGCTTTGAGGATAGGACAAAAAAAAATCTCAACCCAAAATCCTAAAGTAGACTGGAACGTTAATCAATACGTCGTTACATCAGTCATGCAGTAGACTGGTACGTTGATCAGGAACTAATTACATCAACAATAAAGTAAACTGGTATGTGAATAGTGAGTAATTACATCAACAATAAAGTAAACTGGTATGTGAACAGTGAGTAATTACATCAACAATAAAGTAAACTGGTATGTGAACAGTGAGTAATTACATCAACAATAAAGTAAACTGGTATGTGAACAGTGAGTAATTACATCAACAATAAAGTAAACTGGTATGTGAACAGTGAGTAATTACATCAACAATAAAGTAAACTGGTATGTGAACAGTGAGTAATTACATCAACAATAAAGTAAACTGGTATGTGAACAGTGAGTAATTACATCAACAATAAAGTAAACTGGTATGTGAACAGTGAGTAATTACATCAACAATAAAGTAAACTGGTATGTGAACAGTGAGTAATTACATCAACAATAAAGTAAACTGGTATGTGAACAGTGAGTAATTACATCAACAATAAAGTAAACTGGTATGTGAACAGTGAGTAATTACATCAACAATAAAGTAAACTGGTATGTGAACAGTGAGTAATTACATCAACAATAAAGTAAACTGGTATGTGAACAGTGAGTAATTACATCAACAATAAAGTAAACTGGTATGTGAACAGTGAGTAATTACATCAACAATAAAGTAAACTGGTATGTGAACAGTGAGTAATTACATCAACAATAAAGTAAACTGGTATGTGAACAGTGAGTAATTACATCAACAATAAAGTAAACTGGTATGTGAACAGTGAGTAATTACATCAACAATAAAGTAAACTGGTATGTGAACAGTGAGTAATTACATCAACAATAAAGTAAACTGGTATGTGAACAGTGAGTAATTACATCAACAATAAAGTAAACTGGTATGTGAACAGTGAGTAATTACATCAACAATAAAGTAAACTGGTATGTGAACAGTGAGTAATTACATCAACAATAAAGTAAACTGGTATGTGAACAGTGAGTAATTACATCAACAATAAAGTAAACTGGTATGTGAACAGTGAGTAATTACATCAACAATAAAGTAAACTGGTATGTGAACAGTGAGTAATTACATCAACAATAAAGTAAACTGGTATGTGAACAGTGAGTAATTACATCAACAATAAAGTAAACTGGTATGTGAACAGTGAGTAATTACATCAACAATAAAGTAAACTGGTATGTGAACAGTGAGTAATTACATCAACAATAAAGTAAACTGGTATGTGAACAGTGAGTAATTACATCAACAATAAAGTAAACTGGTATGTGAACAGTGAGTAATTACATCAACAATAAAGTAAACTGGTATGTGAACAGTGAGTAATTACATCAACAATAAAGTAAACTGGTATGTGAACAGTGAGTAATTACATCAACAATAAAGTAAACTGGTATGTGAACAGTGAGTAATTACATCAACAATAAAGTAAACTGGTATGTGAACAGTGAGTAATTACATCAACAATAAAGTAAACTGGTATGTGAACAGTGAGTAATTACATCAACAATAAAGTAAACTGGTATGTGAACAGTGAGTAATTACATCAACAATAAAGTAAACTGGTATGTGAACAGTGAGTAATTACATCAACAATAAAGTAAACTGGTATGTGAACAGTGAGTAATTACATCAACAATAAAGTAAACTGGTATGTGAACAGTGAGTAATTACATCAACAATAAAGTAAACTGGTATGTGAACAGTGAGTAATTACATCAACAATAAAGTAAACTGGTATGTGAACAGTGAGTAATTACATCAACAATAAAGTAAACTGGTATGTGAACAGTGAGTAATTACATCAACAATAAAGTAAACTGGTATGTGAACAGTGAGTAATTACATCAACAATAAAGTAAACTGGTATGTGAACAGTGAGTAATTACATCAACAATAAAGTAAACTGGTATGTGAACAGTGAGTAATTACATCAACAATAAAGTAAACTGGTATGTGAACAGTGAGTAATTACATCAACAATAAAGTAAACTGGTATGTGAACAGTGAGTAATTACATCAACAATAAAGTAAACTGGTATGTGAACAGTGAGTAATTACATCAACAATAAAGTAAACTGGTATGTGAACAGTGAGTAATTACATCAACAATAAAGTAAACTGGTATGTGAACAGTGAGTAATTACATCAACAATAAAGTAAACTGGTATGTGAACAGTGAGTAATTACATCAACAATAAAGTAAACTGGTATGTGAACAGTGAGTAATTACATCAACAATAAAGTAAACTGGTATGTGAACAGTGAGTAATTACATCAACAATAAAGTAAACTGGTATGTGAACAGTGAGTAATTACATCAACAATAAAGTAAACTGGTATGTGAACAGTGAGTAATTACATCAACAATAAAGTAAACTGGTATGTGAACAGTGAGTAATTACATCAACAATAAAGTAAACTGGTATGTGAACAGTGAGTAATTACATCAACAATAAAGTAAACTGGTATGTGAACAGTGAGTAATTACATCAACAATAAAGTAAACTGGTATGTGAACAGTGAGTAATTACATCAACAATAAAGTAAACTGGTATGTGAACAGTGAGTAATTACATCAACAATAAAGTAAACTGGTATGTGAACAGTGAGTAATTACATCAACAATAAAGTAAACTGGTATGTGAACAGTGAGTAATTACATCAACAATAAAGTAAACTGGTATGTGAACAGTGAGTAATTACATCAACAATAAAGTAAACTGGTATGTGAACAGTGAGTAATTACATCAACAATAAAGTAAACTGGTATGTGAACAGTGAGTAATTACATCAACAATAAAGTAAACTGGTATGTGAACAGTGAGTAATTACATCAACAATAAAGTAAACTGGTATGTGAACAGTGAGTAATTACATCAACAATAAAGTAAACTGGTATGTGAACAGTGAGTAATTACATCAACAATAAAGTAAACTGGTATGTGAACAGTGAGTAATTACATCAACAATAAAGTAAACTGGTATGTGAACAGTGAGTAATTACATCAACAATAAAGTAAACTGGTATGTGAACAGTGAGTAATTACATCAACAATAAAGTAAACTGGTATGTGAACAGTGAGTAATTACATCAACAATAAAGTAAACTGGTATGTGAACAGTGAGTAATTACATCAACAATAAAGTAAACTGGTATGTGAACAGTGAGTAATTACATCAACAATAAAGTAAACTGGTATGTGAACAGTGAGTAATTACATCAA